AGCCCTTGCCCCAGGCGCTGCTGGCAAGGGCAAAGCGGCGGGGCCTCTTCCACCTGAGCTGAAGGATAAGAGAAGGGGACTGGAGTCCTCCTCATCAGCTCACGGAGTGTCCCTATGAGGGAGAGGTCACAGGCCTCCACCAGAACCCGCCAACTCTGCCCTCCCCAAGTAGTCTGTACCACAACACGAGGATACTCTGGTTGTCGTGTCCCCATCCCCACCCTCAGCCTCTCCCTCTGCCCCAGCCCCACCCCACCGCTCTGCGTTCAGGGCCTCTGGATGAGGACACGCTTGCAGCATGCCAGCTGGGGCCACCCCACTCACCGGATTATTTTGACCAATTCACTCATGTTGACATGGTCTGGGACAAGGAACTTGGTCTTGTCCAGCACTGGCAGCTGTTTCTCTCCTTTATAGCGTTCGATGATGACCTGGGGAGAAAGTCAACAGTAGGGTTAGCCAGAGTTTACAGTGCCCCAAGCACCAGCCTCAAGGTCATACACAAACCGAACTTGCACAAGCGGAAAAGTTGAGCTATGGCCCCACTGTGCTTCACCCTCACAGGAAAACAACAAACAGGACACGAGCAGTGACCATCAGGTTGGCTGCAGACAGCTCTTCAGCGAAGAGTCATCTGTGTGCCCAAGCCAGACAGCGGAGAGCATCCAAGATAAGTGAACTAAGGCATCAGTTGCTCTGACTAGCTGAGAAACAGTAGGCATTAGCAGATTCATTTAGCTACCGCCCCCGACACACAGGAGATCCAGAAGAGGAGTGAAGTGTATTTTGACATCGCTTTCAGACTGACCAAACCACAGGTTTTGCTGGCTGGAGCCAAGGAATGAGCTCATGGTGCACAACAAGAGACATTTTCCTTCCCTTTTGTGCCACGACTCTGGGCTGCTGCTGTTCAGTGTCGCCCTGCTTGCTCAGGAAGAGCTGTGGACATTCCCAAACAAGCAGATTTTGGAAATCACCATGAAGCCACCCAAGGCATCCCTTCAGAAAGGGGGGTTTGCATTTCACCAGTCCCACTCCCCACATTAACACTCCGACCAACTGACTCCCGAAAGCATCAGAAACCCATGGCTGCTTCTCCCGTGTGCCACCACAACGGCCCAGTGAGCTTCCAGGGTGCTGCAGCACAGAGCTACCACAGGGACAGCCGAGCCCATCCTCCCCTGCAGGAGGTCTTGCTTGGGAAAGCTCTTACTACACCTGCATTCTGAAACGGCTGAACAATGATTTCTGTTCAGTTTTCCTGCTATTATAATTAACGAATTTCTTCTGTTAAGGAGTGTCTGCTGACAGCGACAATTGCTATTCTAAACCAGCCTGGAAATGTACGGTTTGTATTCTAAGAAACAAGGTGGCAGGCAGTTCAAATAAGTAATGATATTGCGTAGCAAGCACAATATGCTCCCATTACAGTGATACTCTGACTCTCACATCTCTCCAGTGCCTAGCTGATTGCTCCAGAAAAAGACACTTGTGTGCTAATCAGTTCTTCGTCCTCTCCGAGTTGAGACTGATCATTATTTTTCAGTGTCAGGCAAGCAGCTCCCATAAATCGTTTCCCCAGGTCTTCTCCAAAAACATGGAAGCTGGCAAATGCCTTCGGACAGCGGAGGGATGGAGCAGCATGCAGAGATCAGCATCCCCAGGAGATGGCTCTGTGGAGCCAAAAGGATCACGGCGAACCTCTGGGAACTCTGGTTTGCCTTTCCCTCCAGCATCTGTTGACGCACCAGGCTCTACCAGCAGCAGCGATGAACTCCTGCTCCCTGCCCACACCAAATCCAAATCCGGCGCTCTGGCTGGGATGCTGTGGTATCACCCGTGAGCTGGAACGTCTGACGCGCTCCCAGACTGCAGGGCTTATCTCAAGGCCCACTGGGATGGGCCAAGCCACGCTGCCGGCAGCTCCCGGATGAGGGAGGGGTGCCAGGGGCCTTGGAGAGAGCTCTGCACCTAAACACCCTCTGGAGAACCCACCCTGGACAAAGCCCACACAAAGGGAACCTAGGAGCCCGAGGGCCCGACAAGCAGCATATGAAGGCCCCCAGGACTCCACCAATGTATCCTGACACTGGCCACGTCTTTTGCAAGATGGGGACCCGATGAAAGAACAAGCATCTGCAACAGACTCAATCATGCATCAGGATGCCCCTTAACAACCTGCCAACATCCTTTCCTCCCTCCAGGTGGAGGGCAGAGGAAGGACAAAGACAAGCACAGCCACCTCACTGTATTTACTTTGAGTCTCACTTGGACGGATGAGTATTTTGGCTACGGGGAGATGAACAGGCTCCAAGGGCTGGACGCTCACAACAGTCACATACAGGGGTGCTGCTCTGGCCACTGGCAAACAGAGAGACAACAGCGGGACCTCGAGTTTTTACAAGTAGTTTGCACAAAGGGGCAGCCACACAGCAACTGTTTGTGCATATACCTTTACTCGCAGAGAGGGCCCTCTACACCTGGGCTATGCCTTACTCTTCACTTACACCTAGCAAGTGCAGAGGCAGATGTCTCCAATTACCAGCCAGTTCCATCCCACAAAGAAAAGCCTCTCAATTAGTCCAAGAATGGGCTGAGAAGGATGGCCTGGCCGTTAAAGCAGCAGCTGCCTTGCGCCCTGAGCAGACCCAGGGCCTGTCATGTAGAACCGCTCCAAGAGTTTCTGTTTCCAGAACATGAGCTGCTATTTGGGTAACCCAGTTATGGGAACAGGTGGCCAATGGACAAAACGTTCTTGTCTAGCTTTCGAGGGAAATGCATGATCAACTGCTAATATTACACCCCTGTGGCCGCAGGGCTTGTATACAAAGCCATCTCCTCTCCTGTATGCTCTTCCAAGCTGCTGCGTCAGGCCAAGGGGTTCCTCAGCGTGGGAGACCCACTCCTGCAGTGGGAACCCACCACAGATCTCACTGCAAAAATAACACCAGCTGGGCACACGTGGCAAGGCTTAGGGCAGAGCCTGGGGTCCCAGTCCCATCGCTGTGGGGGCTTGGGCAGCATTTATAAACACAACCCTTGTTCTGGGGCCAGTTTGAAGAGGTGGAAAAGGATTCTGGTAGGGAACCAGGCCAGATCCAGCAGCCTGACAGAGGCAAGGCTGCCACAGCTCCATGCCCCCAGGTCCAACCAGTAGCAAGGCTGAGAACAGCCATAATTTGGGTTTCTGTCCACCACTGTGCCAGGGCAGGGCATTATTCGGGCTCCCTCACCTGCCACTGCCTCCCCGTGCTCCTCTGCAGGTGTGCCGACGAGCTTGTTATCCCATAACCTAACGGAGACCTCCCTGCACAGCCCGAACACACCCTCAGCCTTTGCTGTCAGCACCAGGCAGCTCTCTCCTAACCCACCCTCCGCAGCAGCACAGCTGGTGCCTCGCTAGGCCTCGCTGAATTCAGCATTACAGTGCTTTGGGACACCATTTGCTCCCATTGCTGCCCAGCACAAGCTCTTCCCCAGTGATTTTAGACTCTCCAAGGTTCACCAGAGCTGGCTTAAAGCTTGCAGCTGCTCCTCAGCAGGTCCCAGTTCGATGGGCTCCAGAAAAGGGAGCACTGGGGCCAACAGCAAGTGAGGGCAGTGGGCAGGCATAAGCTTGGTCTACCCTCTAACAGGGCAGAGGATCATTTCTAAAGCATCTGCTGAGGCTGTGGGTGGAGGTCCCAGCGAGCAGGCAGGCAGCTCTCTGCTCGCTCTGACCGCCTGCACGGGGCAGCTGGAGGCTCCTTCCCGGCAGAGCTCCATGTGAGCAGCACCTCGCTGCCAACTCACCCGCGCACTTCTCAGCAAGGGCTGCGTGTTCTGGGGTCAGCACTTTTTACCATGGAAGCGCAGCCAGCTTTGGGGAATGCAGAGACAGCAAAGGAGCCCCTGGCATGGGGTGGACAGGGAAACACTGGGGAGCTCCTAGCTCCTGCCTGTCTCCTTATCACAGTGGCAGCGAGGCGTCCTGGGATGTGATTTCCCTTCAAACACAAGCAGAGAACTCCATGCCTCAGGCAGAGCCCAGGTTATCCACTGCTTTGCTTCTGGTGTGCTCAGACAGACACACCGCCAGCTCTGTCCCCACCATGCAGTCACCCAACGCGTACGTGGCACAGCCCCCTCTGGAAGTACCCTCATGGAAACAGGGGGGAAATGCCTTTCCCCAGGCACAAAGCCAGGCTGTGCACTCTGCAAATCCTCCTGGCCCTCAGTCAAAGCAAAATGGGACTCGCCCAAGGGTCTCCAGTAGAAACTGGAGATGCAAGCAGAGGGCAGCAGCTGCAGCACAGCTTGCTGTGATTTCTGCCAGCAATAAGGGTGTGACCTGGGCCGTCTTCTCCCTCACTCCCCGTGGGCTGCGGGCTCAAACCCCTTTGCTAACTCCAAGCGCCTCTCCAGGGAAGCCAGTCACTTGGCAAACACAGGTTCCACCTTTCACAGAAGACCAAGACTTTCCTGCAGCCCATCTGGCTGCACTGCGCTGCTCGCAGCTGTCCCCACACCACGCTCTGCTTTGCAGTATGTGGCTTTGCTCACAGCCCTCGCACTGAAAGCTACATACAGTGACTTGCCGGAACTTTGCAATGTAAAAGAGAGGAGATAGCACCAAACTTGGTGTCAGGGTGTAATCAAGACCAGGCCTGTAGGGACACCAATGACACAAACACAGCCAGACTCCTCCAGGCCTTCAGCACCTTTCTCTCCTCCTGATTCTTTTTATTGCTCCAGCAAAACTTGCAGCTAAACGTATCCTCCCCTGTCACGTCAGTCAGCCCAGGAAAGCAAAGCAGCTGAGGTTCAGCTGAGTCACAACGCTGGCGCTCAGGACGCTACCCAGGACAATAAGGCACCGGACAAAGAGGTCACTGGAGCAGGAGTGGGAGGGCTCGGGTCTCTGCCACAGCTAAAGCTCCGCGCGCACACACAACTCCCCAGACAACCACACCAGCAGCCAGGTCCTGATGACACAGAAGCCTTCTCCTGTGACACATGGTGTCTGACCGCAACACAAATAGCACTCCAGCCATGGAAGCTCTCCCACCACGTGTCAGCAACACTGGTAAAATTCTTCATGTGGATGGAGAACTCTGGCTCTGTCTGTTCATATCCCAGGCAACACATGTCTGTGTACAGGCACTTGATATATGCAGATGTGTACGTTTCATGTAGAACTCATTTCTAGCCTGTCCTTATTGCTAGAGCCTGAACGCAGTGTAGTTAGCTCTGCAGAAATGCAGAGCCAGCCTAATGCCATGAAAACCATGTTAAAAGCAGCGGTCATGATGTGTAGATGATACGGCATACTGGTACCCAGTGTGCTGCAAGGGGCCAGTGCTGCTCTGCCGAGCTGGCAAAACGTCAGCTCCACAGTGGCGGTGGAAGAGAAGGAAGAGAAAGAATTCTTTCTGCTAGAAGATGTTGTGCTAAAATCAAAAGCAGAGCGAGGCAGGAACGGACTAGTATGTGCCAAGAGCAGTCTGAGACTTTAAGCCTTGAAGGCTAAATACTGAGAGACTGCATACAATTTTAAGACAAGGCTGATGTTCATCCAACACTGAGAGCAACCTGAACTAGGAACACGTTCCATTTTTTGGTCACACATGCTATGGCATTGCAACTACTACCTCGAGCATCCCCCAAGTACATTATTTCTCTAAATTCTCCATCTTCTCAGGAAGAGAAGCAAACACTCAGCTAGGATAGCAAAAGCACACTCACATTCCAAGAGGAAGACAGCGTATCAGGTCTGACATTGGCAGGAAGAACTGGAGGCAATTCATGGAGCCTCACCTACGCCCGTCAACAACCGGCGCTGGGAAAGCACAGAACGGGCGTGACCGTTCGGCTGTGGTACGAACTATCCTAACAGAGGCTCTTTGCTTTCAATACAGTGAAGCTCATCTCACACATCTTTCTCCGGGCAGATGCAGAGAAATCCTTAACAGGTCATCCAGGAAAACTCAGGTAGCTACTGCAACAACAATGACAAAAAAAGGGCCACTCTGAACATGAGGAAGAACTTCTTCCCTCTGAGGGTGACGGAGCACTGGAACAGGCTGCCCAGGGAGGTTGTGGAGTCTCCTTCTCTGGAGATATTCAAGACCCGCCTGGACAAGGTCCTGTGCAGCCTGCTCTGGGTGACCCTGCTTGGGCAGGAGGGTTGGACTAGATGACCCACAGAGGTCCCTTCCAACCCCTACTATTCTGTGATTCTGTGATTCTGTGATTTCAGAGTCTTCTCCCGGAGCACTAGCTCGGAATTAGATTTGATATCAAACCAGTTCCTTGCCTCTAGGGCAGGCGCAAAGCTTAAGAGCAAGACTCTATTTTGCACTGCTGAGAGTGTGGTCTGCTATCGAGCAGCTGGCACTCACAAGGCACCGGAGGCTTACGGAGAGCGTCCTGCGTTGATCCTGGGGAGCAAAGCTCGGTAACCTCCACGGCTGGCCAGTGGAGGCTATCTCACAGCACAGGGGGGGGGGGACAAGAACAAAGTCTAATGCAGAACAGCCAGAAAAACTTACCGGGATTTTGCTCGGATGCTGCTCTCGGATCTGCTGTACTTCTTTACAACGATCCGCTGGAAAGAAAAAAGTAAAGAAACAAAAAGTTACAGACATTTCTCTGTGCTAGTTCAGGCAAAAAGAAGGTAACCCTGCAAGCCACAAGCCAACAAAGAGGGACACTGCAAAAGAAGTGGAAATTCTGTTCATCGGGCCTTTTCTGAGCATTTTGCAGCAGTGAGATGGTCAGCCAGATGTCAGCTCCACAGATCAACCCTTCATGGCTTCCTACCACTCCAAGCATCCCCCAAGCCAGGGACATGCTACCCTGCCCAGTAAAACTAGGCAACACACATGGAAACCAAACGACTTAAACGAGACCATAAGGATTACAAAACTCTGTTCCTAAATCCACCTCGAGCAAACGCAGCTCATGACCGTCAGCGCTGGGCAAGCAGCACAGCTTTAGGGTTTCAGCTCTGGAAGTTCAGGCTCTTTGTGTCTCCTGGCTGCTTCCCCAGAGGAGATGATTCTCCAACTGGGGCTGGGCTTTTGCCATTTCCTTCTGCCTGCTGCGCACTTCCAAGCACTGTCTGGCACAGTGCCTCCGTCCGAAAGAGCTACGCCTTGCCAAGGAGGACTCCTTCACTATCGCAGATCTACACAGGAGCTACAACAGCTACTGGCCTGACAGAAAGCATTTCTAGACCTGTCATGGAAACAGGAAGAAACCTTAAGTGAGGAGATGACCCACGTACTAAAAGATTTTTTCTGCAGTTGTTCTCACACTTTCTAACCTGTTTTCCTCCAGAGTTCACGTTTACTGACACATGCAACAGGCAGCACATAAAAGCTTGTATGGTCTTCGAGGTTATGGGAGAATTTCAGTGCCCCCTCACTGCTTTACCAGAGGGCCCCCCACTTTCCACAACGCAAAGCAGCAGAAAGGAGGTAAGAAGCTGTACCAGGGCCAGGTACGGCTCTGTGTGTGCTCTTCCTGGGAGCACTCCATGCGTTACCATTACTCTGGGAACGCTTCACAGCTGACAACAGCCCATCTAAAGTGCCCAGGGGAAGCGGCTTCACGGATCACAGGACGTAAGCCAGGGGCTAAAGGCCAATGACTACGGACTGCCTAGACAAGCAAGACCTGGGTATCGCAGGATCTCTCATGGGATTGTCCTGCCACACACACGGTCACTGGTGCCACACCTGCTCCAAGCCTGACTCCCCTTACCTGCTTCACACAGCCCCAGTTTCTCACAACCCACTGGGATCAGATAGGACAGGGTAAGTGCATGTGTTTGAGTGTGTTTTCTGCCCACAAACGTTGAGCATTTCTCCTCTAACCACTCCATAAAACTTTATTGCTTATAAATGGAATTTGGCTAGATACTACTTTGGGAAGAGACTGGAGTTTCTTTAGAGGCCACAAGACTACAAAATCACTGGATCACACAGGCTTTTGAGCACCTTTTCTGTCTCCTCTGAGAGGAAAATACCCCTCTGCTCGGAATTGCTACACCCATCTTCTGTAGGACTCCACGGGCTAGCAAGACAGAGCAAGATTATTTGGATTTAATGGAAAATGTGGGTATATTTGGGGGGGGGTTATGACTGGAGATATAGTTCCTCATGTTTCCTTTTCACCCTTGCCAACGCTCCAGCATTTTCCTTCTGATACAGGTAATTTTCCCTTGAGGTCTCAGTCAGCAAGGACTTGCGCAGAAATCGGCACTGCACGCGACGCTGGCGCAGCAATGCCCCTCAGGAGCGCTGAAGGGCACGGTGACAACAAGCACCCAGCACACAAGCACCCGGCTCGAGCAGCCCCAGAAGCACGTGCCCCTCCTTGTGCAGAGCTCCGCTCCCACGTGCTCGCTGTGCACGAGCTTCAGCAGCACAGAGCATCCAAAAGTTTGGAGACCCAAAGCGTGAATGGACAATGCTTATCAGCATAAGTACTTCAGGCAGCTTGACTGCAGTCAGCTCAGACTTGCTGGGTATTAACAGAGCCTGCAGAAAGCTTTGTGTCCTCATGGCCGGCTAGTTTTTCCAGCTTCAGTATCCACCCTGTCCTGTACCTCTCCCCATACTATCAGACAGCCATGTGGATGAACTTCCCAGACATCACACGTTTCCCTGTAGGGCCACAGAACTGTTTGCACAGGAAGCCCCAACGATGCAGGTAATTATGAGAAGGGTCTGAGAAGCAATTCGCCAAAGGCGAATTCGCAGCCTTTCCATCATGGCTAGTAATGTAGGTAATCTCAGAGCATCCACCTAGCCTAGGCTGCATGCGTCAAAGAGCAGCCACACGCCTGATACCCCTTCTTGCTCCCTGGAAGCATCACCAATGCCAGCACAAGGCTGACAGCCATCACCACCTCTGCTTCCACAGAGGAGTCAGAGGTGCTCCTCCCCATCACACTAAAAAAGACACCACACAGAGAATAAAACGCTACGTCATCTACCCAGCTACAGGCCAGCGTCTCAGGATCCCACCTCTGAAACCGCAGTCTTTTGCCCCCCCAAGGGCTGCTGACTGCAGGCGTCTTGGACAGAGGCAGGCCAGGCTGCTGCTGCAGCACGCTTCTTCCAGGTCCTGCTGACTGCACGCTCAGC